CAAATGGAAACTGCACAGATTGTTGCGTCGATGGCATCTCTATATTAAGGTTAAAGAAATTTGCAGATGAATACTTTCCCCTTGAACTGGACGCGATGTTACTATACGGATTGTTCGTAGACCCACCTCGGTACATATCCTAAGGAGTTGTGGAAGAATGTCTCCCCATTGAAGTTGATGTGACGGCACCATGATGCGGATTTCCCATTATGGCATTAAAATCATTACACATTACTGTAGTCGGGATGTCAACTTGATCAACTTGTTCAGCCATCCCATAGTGGAAGCTTAATGACTAACCCCGAATAGCACACACTTGAACAACTTTGCATACATCTCAATAACGGCGTCTGAATAATTACTTTGAGAATCAACCATCATTTCAAAATCGTCATTGTTCGATAGTTCAAACGCTGTATAAGTTAATGGCAACAATGATGTTGGAAATCTGTACTGCAACGACGACATTCTTCTACTACTTCCAACATGAACATTCCTCGAAATCTTCGTTATCAGCTCCTCAAGAGTTATGTTTCTCTTGAATGATATTTTAACATGCTCATTTGATATGAAAACAACGGCCGGTTTCATCATCTTGAATTTCTCTATCATAATAAACAATAACTGAAAGTCGCGTCATTCTTAAAGTTTAAAAGTGCGTTAATATTATATCTGCAAAAAAACAACTGAAACAAACCTGCTTAAATAAATAATATATGAACGAAAATATAACACAATAATTTTTTACACATAAACGTAAATAATTTAAATAATAAAATTTTATATTAATATTTGTACAACAAAAATATTTCGACGTATGCTCCCACTTTCCCCTTGAACTGGCACAGAAATTAATTAAAAACAATTAGTATAATATTTTTTCATATAATCATAATAAACAATAAGTATACTAAAAAAATATTATAACAAAATTACCTTATAACGAAAGATCGAACGAACTTCTGAATCAAATATAAGAGGATTATCGGGTGTTATTTACTGGTTGAAATGATTGTTGTATTAATTTCTCGGTTGAGAATGAATTGTGAGAGAGTTTACGGGGAGAGGGCTAGTTATAGCCGAGAGATGATGCTTTAAAGCCGAGAAGTTTGGGTAAATTATGCAAGGCGCGGTCCCTACACCGCACCTTGCATTATGCATGTCTGATAATTGATCATGTGATAATTGAAAAGTGCGTCCCCTGCCCCGCACTATAGCCATACGTGGCATAAGGCGCACGTGTGTCCATGTCAGCATAAGGCAAACTGCAAGGGGCGCGTCTTACCCCACGTGGCGCCAGATCACTGTAAAGCACATTGCAGGGGGCGCTCCTTACTTCAAAGGGTGTTAGATCAGGAAAAATAGTCTGAATGGTGCCTGACAGGTAAATATATAGGGTATAGGTGATATATCGGGAAAAACGGCATACAAACTCATAAATAATAATGAAAAAAGAGAAAACCTCGTATTGAACTGTAAACGATAGAGATATGACGACGTGGCGTGAAAGGCGCGTTCGTGCGGTGATCCCAATGGGAGAATTATTTTTTTATTATTTTTAATGTGACAGATCAAAGACTTTGGTTTTGACTTTGTCAAATTCCACAATTCGTATTGTTAAAATCAATTTCATTTTAGGTTAAATTGTCTTATTGGTCGCCAAAATATTATTGTTTTCTTACTTTGGTCACTAAACTTTTTTTAACATGATCGTCCCTAATGCTATTTTTTTAATATTTTGATCACTAACTGTTAAGTTCAGTTGAAATTTGACAAAGATGCTGGTATGACATGATATAAAAACAATGTTAATCTTAATACTTATGTATTATATCAATTTTGTCTTGCCAACGAGTGTTGATACAAGTGGTTGAGATTCAAGAATTTGAACTTGTAAGGTCAAGTTTGAATTCTACCACCGTCATTCTTGGTGGGCAATCTTTAAATTTCTATGTAAATATTAATTAAGTCTTAGGTATGTCCCGACCTTGGATTGGGGGAGCCACCTGACCTAAACTTTTTATCTATAAAAAATCAATTTTATCTTAATTTAAAATAATTTAATAAATATTTAATATTTAAAATAATTTAATAAATTTAACCTTTAATAAAATGATAATATATGTGGTCATTTATATATATAGGCAATATCCAATTATACTCAGTGTAAAATTAAGAGTTTTACACCTTATTAAGATCGTTGGATGAGGACGAAGCTATTTTCTTTGATTCTTTGATTCTTGCTTGCTTTTCTTCTTTCTCTGGATCTTTTTTTTGGGGTTTTGTTCGTTCATGGCTGGTGAAGGTGTCACTGAATGGAGGAAGCTCTTCGTGGAGGGAAACGACCAAGAATTAGATTTCTTCCCTCCTTCAGTGGTCGAGGGTTCTTGTGTGGTAAAATGCCCCGCTTGGTGTTTGAAGAAGGTATCTCGGAATGGAAATATTCCTTAGTTGGCCAATTTATTGGCCAAGCTCTGAACTTCGCTTCCCTTCAGAGAGCTGTTGGTTTGATGTGGGCTAAGGATTCGTCAATGAAGGTGAGTTTTGCTGGTTCGAACTTATACATTTTTTCATTCATTGATTCTTCTGCTAGGGACTGAGTTTTAGATAATGGTCCATGGCATATTCATCATAAGCCAATTTTTCTTAGGAAGTGGGTTCATAATCTAAAAGAATTACACTTTGATTTACTCTGTATGCCTATATGGATTCAACTCTATAATGTACATTTAGAATTATTTTCGAAGAAAGGGCTCAGTTACATTGCGAGCGCAATTGGCAAGCCTCTCTATATGGATTTGATAACTGCTAATAGAGAACGTCTTGAGTATGCCTGTGTATGTGTAGAGGTCTCTGCTAAGTCTCAGATTCCTAACTATATCGATGTCATCCTGTGTGATGAGTCACTGGCTAGAATCAGGGTTTTAGTGCCTTAGATGCCTAGTTTCTGTGTTGATTGTGGATGATTTGGGCATATTGTGAAGTATTGTCCCCAAGGAAAGAGAGTGGATCATGTTTGGAGGGTCAAAGCCCCTGTGCTAGCTTCTTAGGTGGTTGGTTCTGCAAAATATGAGGAGGTTTTAAGTACTATGGATGCTGGAAATTTACGCTCAACTTCGGTTTCACTGGATCCTAACTCTGGGATTGAGCTAAATATTTATGCAAATGCTAATATGAGTTCACAGGCTGTTATTATTGGTAACAATTTGACTACTCATGATGATACTTTTGTTAAAGTTGACAAACAGCCTGTTCTTGCTGAAGCTTCTACTGCTTGTAGCAATCTGGTTGATACTACGAGGATCACTGAGGCCTCAAAGTTAGATGGTCATTCTGTTATAGTTGATAATCTGGTTTTTCTTTCTGATAGTACCTTGGCTGATGCTGCTGGCAAAAAGGTCCCTACTATCATTGGAGCTGGTCCTGAGAGCTTTGATGGGGTTGTTGTTGGAAGTGATACAGTGTCTGGCCTTAGTGCCAAACAGCTTGACGTTGAACAAGCTAATAATCCTCCTATGAAAAGAGTAAGGGGTAGGCCAGCAAAGGATGGAAAATTTGTTGGAGGTGCTTCCAAGAATAAGTTTGATATCCTCAACTCCATTGATCCTGACAGTTTGGTGAGTGTTCCCTCTGGTGTTTCTGGTAGGAAACAAAGGGGTGCAGCTCTGGGTGTTTCAAAAATTGTTCAGGAAATGAAGTTTAAGAAGAAAGAACATGTTGGTAAGGTTAAGCACATTGAGGTAAGGGGTGATGCTTCTTCCTCTTATACTTTGGTATGTTAGTATATTTTTGGAACGTTAGGGGTTTCAATAGCCCCCTTAAGCAAAGTGCAGCGCTGAAATGGGTTGTAAAATGCCAAATTAATGTTTTATGCCTTATTGAAACTAGAGTTAAGGAAATCAATTCTGGTGAAGTTTTGTCTAAGAAGTTTGTGGACTGGGGTTTCTGCTGTAATTATAGTCATGCTGAAAATGGTAGAATTTGGGTGCTTTGGCAAAATCACTTAAACTGCTCCATGATTTCTGTTTTCGATCAGAGTGTCACGATCAAGTGTATTTTTGGTGATAAATACTTCTTCACTACTGCCGTCTACGGTTCAAATGATGGCTCTGCCCGTATGCAGCTTTGGAATCATGTTAGCGCAATGGTTAATGTTGTGGGGAGTGATGCTTGGTTAGTTGGCGGTGACTTCAACGTTATTCTAAATATGGAGGAAAACTCGAATCCCATTAATTCTACCACTTTCTCTCATATGTCTGATTTCCAGAGATGCGTTGAAGTGCTGGGAATTTTTGATCATCAGTTTACTGGCCCTTTATTCACATGGTCTAACAAACAACAGGATTCTTACTTGGCCCACAAATTTGATCTTTTCCTCATCAATCCTAGCTGGGTTATGGCTTTTCTGTCCTCGGTGGCGGAGTTCCAAACTCTTGGGGATTCAGATCACTACCCGACCCTTGTCTGCCTACGTAAGGACGCCTCTAGTGATAAGCCGAAGCCTTTCAAGTTCTTTAATTTCTGGGCAATTCACCCAAATTTTTTGTCCATTGTCAATGATTCGTGGCAACTTCCGGTTACTGGAAATCTAGCTCAGTCTCTTTTTTTGAAGCTCAAACATTTAAAAAGTCATCTCAAAGAACTTAATAAGTCTCACTTTCATGATATTTCGAGACAGGTTCAATGGAAGAGGGATGAACTTAAAAGCATTCAATTCTCTAATTTGTGTTCTGGTTATGCTGGCAATTTTATTAAAGACGAATTGACGGTCAAAAGAGATCTCCAAGCCCTTGAGCATGCGGAGTTGCTATTCTACAAAAAAGGCTAAAGTCGACTGGATTAAGGATGGTGATCAAGGTACACGTTTTTTTTCACTCTATGGTGGCAACAAAAGGATGAGCAATACTATCCGAGTCCTTTATGACCAAGACGGGGTTAAATTGGATTCTTTTGAGCACATGTCGAATGAGGTCATTCGATTCTTCAAGAAATAACTCGGGATGGCTAACTCGGATGTTAAGTGTTGTAATGCTAATGTCATCAAGGACCTCCTTGATTTCTCCATGCCTAGAGGTGCATCTGATGTTTTAATCAAAGACGTTTCTGATGTGGAGATTAAAGATGCTATTTGGGGGTAAGGAAATAACAAATCCCCTGGACCGGATGGCTTTAATGCTTTCTTCTTCAAGTATGCTTGGCCTATTGTTGGGAATGATTTCGTGGCAGTTATCAGGTACTACTTCGAAAATTCTTTTATGTTACCGTCTTTTAATGCTACTTGTAATTTCCTCAATATTGGGTTAGTGACTAGATTGAAAATTTTCAGAAATTGGTGATTAAAGTATGATAATTAAATAGTTTAATGATTTATTGGAAATATATGATGAAGGTTATTTAGTAATTATGGAATGAATTAAAGGGTAAAATTGTCAATTGACAAGTAATATTTTTATTTTCCCTTATAAGATAAGAAAACCATATGGGAAGAGAGAAAAGGTTCCAGAGTTCTCTTGTCTTCTTTCTTCTTCATACGTGAAGGCTTAAACAAAAGGTAAGTCTTCTATTTAGATAATTTCTGGTTAAATTTAAGGTTAACTAAGCTTAAGGAAAGCTTAAGTTATCTTAAAATCAAAAGATAAAGGAGTTAATGAAGAATAAAGATTTGGAGTTCTTGAGTGAAATATTGAAATAGAGTTTATAATAAGAATTGAAAGTTGAATTTGACTTGCCATCAATAAGAATAAGAGATTTATGAAGTTAGAAAGGATTAATAACAAAGTTGAAAGTTTAGTAAGATTCTTAAATTTTAAGAATCATGATGCGATATGGAAGATAAAGATTGTTTATAGGGATATAAGTTAGTTTAATTAATATTAGTTGAGTTTAATGACATGATAGGGGCTTAAAATAGAAGAATTGAGTGAAAAGTTGATGGTTTTCGGGCTTAAAATGCAAATTCTGGGCAAAGTGTATCGATGCACATTCAATGTGTATCGATGCACTCTTTAAAGAAGAAACATCGAATGCAATTAGTGCATCGATGCATAAGGAGTGCATCGATGCACCCCCTTAAAATGAAAACATCGAAGGTGATTGATGTATCAATGCATGGGTAGTGTATCGATGCACATGTTAAAGGATACATCGATGCACATGTTAAAGGATGCATCAATACACTCTAGAATGTATCGATGCACTTCAATGGGAAATGGAATAAATCTTTCTTTCATTCTAAGAAATGATAGATTAAAGTATATCAATTGGTTACTAATATGTATCAATGTATGATTATATAGATATCGAGCACGAACAAGTTCCAGAATGATTATCAAGTTAAGATTCGATCGAAAGAAAGGAAATCATAAAAGTGGATTGGAACTTAGTGAGGCCCAAGTGAGTGCATATTAGTTAGTCTATGGTGCTAAATGAAACAAGACTTGCGACAAGTCTATTTCCTATATTAGAATGCATGAATATATGATTATACGTATATGAATGACATGAATTGTATGTATGCATGATTATATATGTTAACATGCTTTTGAATGTAATGATATGAGAAGTATGTGCTATGTGACTGCATGAGAAAGATATGAGCCATATGACATGATATATGTGAATATGAGAAAACAAGGTATAAGATATGAGCTATGTGATCCTATGAGAATATGAAAAGAAGCTATGAGCTTATATGACATGTAATATGAAAGCGTATATGTGAAATGATATAAGTGAAAATGCCCATGTTATATGATACGAGAGTTATAGGTATAGTTGGCATGCTAAGAGTCGAGGGTCTACGCGGTTCTTCGGGACATACAGTGATCATTCGAGATATTTCATAGTGGTCATTCGGGATAAATTCATATCCCCTAGTGGGACCCTAACGAGTTGTGGTGACATCATAGTGCACAACCTCAATAGACTCACATATCTACAATTCTCACATGTATGCATGGGCTAAAATAAAGGATATAATATGAGAAAAATGCTATGTGATACTATATGTTTGTTTGGTAAAATGATGTGTATGTATGTGAAAGTATGATAATAAGATGATAAAGTTATGAAGTGAGGGATGATATGTGTGCATATGGATAATTATTTTATAGATGAATATATGAAATGTGCATAGTAGGAATTAGTATATGTATATGTGGGTGTGATGCTTGTATGTGATATATTAGTAGAAATTGTTCAAGCATGATTACGAGTTCGAGTTTTATTATATGTTTTATGCCTCACTAAGTCAACGACTTAGCATGTGATTATTTCACACGTAGGTATGAGAAACGAGAGTGGAGTAGCGATAAGCAAGACATGTCAGTATTTTTCTTACGATGATCAGATCAGAAACATATTGAACATATGTATTTTGTTTATAGAGTTAATTGACATGTAGTTACAAGATTTTAAATTGAATATGATCTAATAGTTTTAAAGAAACAAATTGATTGTAATTATTAATGTAAAATACTCATTTTCTTAAATGATGAAATTAAGATTTTAGTGGATTTGTAAAGAACAAAGTTTTGAAAAGTCAATGTGACACCTCAGACTCGGATACGGGTTGGGGTATTACACTACTACTGTAGTCGTGGTCCCTAAAATCTCCAACCCGAATATGGTTAAGGATTATAGAACCATTTCTTGTTGCTCGGTCATTTACAAAACTGCTACTAGGATCTTGGTGAATCGATTGTCTGTTATTTTCCCTAGCATGATCTCTATGAATCAGTCTGCTTTTGTGAATGAGAGAAGCATTGTAGATAACACACTTTTTGCTCAGGAACTTGTTAGAGGCTATTCTAGGAATAATATTTCGCCTAGATGTGCTCTCAAAATATATTTGCAAAAGGCTTTCGATTATTTAGATTGGGAATTTGTGAGGATCATCTTGCATGCTTTGGGTTTACCTGAAAAATTTATTGGCTGGATATGGACATTTATTACGGGGCCTAGTTATTCAATTGTTCTTAATGGTAGCCTAGTTGGTTACTTCAAGGGTGCTCAGGGTGTTAGGCAGGGGGACCCACTTTCCCCTTATATTTTTGTTCTGGCTATGAATGTTTTATCTAGACTTTTAAACCTAGCTGCTGCTAAGGGGGTGTTTAAGTATCACCCTAAGTGTAAAAAAATTGGGCCCACTCACCTTTGCTTTGCGGACGATTTGCTCGTCTTTTGTAAAGGCTCCATGGACTCTTTCATAGGGGTGCAAGCTATCCTGGACATTTTTTATTCGATATCGGGTCTAAAGTTGAATTCTAGCAAATGTGAAATTTATTCTGCTGGAATTTCTTCACAGCAGTGTTCTACAATTAAGGACATTACCGATTTTAATTTGGGTAGTCTGCCAAAAACTTGTTCGCGTGTTGTGAGTACTATAAAATATACGCAAATAATGTGCAAGTATACACAATCGCTCAAGTAATATAATGATGAGTGAGTATCGTCTCCATAGGGATTGGGTGAAATCACAAAAGTCTAACCAAAGCAATGCAATATTCTATCTAAGTATAGTTAGTCTTGATATATACAAATGTCACGGCAATGGATATGTGTATGCTGGTGGATGCGGATTGATGCTGTGATGGTGTAGCAAATGGAAATGCAGTGGCAATGATGGATGTTTAATGTTGAGTATGGTGAAATGTTAAGGCAATGAGAATTGGTAAAAACAGTAAATAAAAAGATAAATAAAATAAGAAGAAAATAATCCTCACGTGACAAGCTTCCAATGAAATGAATGGTAAGGATTGGTCTAAGGTTGCTAAACTTATTTCTCAAGTATATCTAAGCTATCTTGTCTTTACTTACTCGACAGGGCTTTCCTAAGGTGTTCAAAAGAACCTAACAGAATAGGATGCCAAGGCATCTGCTCTCACTCAACGATGTTGGACAGCCTACCCTATTGATGAAGACACCCTTTTTAGTCGTTGAAATCCTATCCTAGTCTCTTCCGAGATCTAAGGGATTAAGTTATAATATTCTAGGCCGGTTCAAAGCCCCTTGAAAATACCATAACCCATTGCTTATGAGGATCTTATCTTGCGTTTCTTCCGAATACTTACAAGTATTTTTAGTTTAGGATTCTTCCGAATACCTAACCTTCATCTAAGAGATGGACATTTCCATGCCTCTTACAAGCCTAGATGGTGAAGCATTCATAAGCAAAGCAAATAAAGAACCAAAATAAACTTAAATATACCATTAAAAATAAAGTTTAAACAACCATTCAACCAACCACCACCAAATAAGTTAGTTCATGGTGGGGTTCGAAATATCCAAACACAAAGTCATGAAAATTCGTTCCAAAAACCCACAAAATAATATAAAGAAATAGCAGCAAAAAGGGAAGTGAGAAGAAGCCTTCGACGCGCCACCAGAGGTCTCCTCTCGGCCACCACGAACCACCTAGCTCGCTAGCTCCTTTCGGCGCCTAGCTTGCCACTCCTTGGAGCTTTATCAATGGAGGAATATTCCAAGGAAGAAGAAAGGAAAAAGAGAAAATAAAAATATGATTTTTCTGCTCTATGCGTGTGCTCACCGTCCTCTCTTTCTCTCTCTCCCATGAGGTGTCATATATAATAAATAAAATATCTAGGGGTAATGATGAGTTTGTTGGGTGCAAAATACCCCTCATACCCATAGAATCACATTTTGTGCATGAATCTTATCCTCCAAGTGGCAGTGGTACATTGGCAGCTCTGGCAGGCGGTTACAGCAGTCCTTCACGTGCAGAGACAGCTGTCCAGTGCCAACTGTCCTTATGCAGAAATATCTTTTTGTCTTTTTCTGCGCCAGAAATGCCAAGGCATTTCAATCTGCTCTAGCAACGTGTGATGCCGCGGCATTACTTCCCAAAGAATCCTTTTTCTTGCTATTCCCTGCACACCATAGACAAACTGCACATTTCCCTCAAACAACACCATTGAGAAATAAAATAGTACAACCACCACAAATACAACTATATGCAACTACATGATCCTAAAATGACTAAAATGAGCTTTTAAACAAACAATAACTTAAGTGAAAAAGGCTTTAAAAGTAGCCTTTTTAGGAAGTTAACACACCCCCAAACTTAAGCTATTGCTTGTCCTCAAGCAATGGATAGTAGTTACATAAGCATAATGCCATGGCAAAGTTCGATAGTAAGACAGTAGGACAAAATTGAATTTCAACCCTCAGAACGATAGGCTTCAACATGCTAGATTTATCAAGAATTCAAGTACCTTTCCCTAGGTCAAAATCCTTTGTGGTAGTGTGTGTGCGTGATTGTATCCAATCTATACTTAGCAAATTTAGACAATTTCTAATCAAGTTCTCTAGTTTTTGTCAAGGCATTTACTTATCATTAAGCACATTTTTACTCCCTTTTTTTTGATGCTGTTACGAAGGGAGTCAGCTCATCACACCTACTCTCCCACACTCTAGATGAAAGGGAGCATACCTTCCATCCCCGAGCTAGTTAAGTAGAGTCATCCCGTGACTTCTTTCATTCACTCATATGCACGAGGCTTCCATTTATTAAGAAAGTTCCAGGAAATGCCACGGCAAAGAGGAGTGTCCCTCTACAGCTATGCTTAAGCATTTATTCACAGTTTCATTTCTAAGGGAGTTTGTTTTTTATTTTCCTTTTAAACACCATACTATATTTCAATGCCAAGACTAACTAAAGTTCCTTCATAAAAATTTCCTAAATTTTCTAAGTATAGAGAACATACAAATCGTGTAAATATTTTTCACCAAGCATCAAGCCCTAGAGTGAGTTCTATCATTCTCAACAGTCATTTACATTCAGATTCTAACCTAACAAAATTATCATCATCGGGTATCCTCAAAACATTTTATCTAACTGTCATACCATTTACTGATGCCATGGCATAATACTATGCTAATGCTATCATGCATATGCCCTACCAAGAACAATACCTCCCCCAAACTTAAGGGAAGCATTGTCCTCAATGCTTTAAAAAGAACTAAACTATCTATAAACTATATGTTATGCAATGCAATGCAATGCAACTAAATGAAAATAGATGCAAGAGAGGTACCTCAATGTTTACGTGATGGTGGTGCTTTGGAGGTGCTAGCAGCTCCTCGTCGGGTGCGCTTCCGGATAGGTGCTGGGCTGGACTCTGAAGAATTGGAGTAATAGTGCGCAATGCGTCCAGCCGTGGTCTTGGTGCGGCGACCACTACGTTGTGTAGGAGAAGGATTGGGTGCTGGGACGGGGCTAGGTGTTTCTTCGACAGGGACAGTGGGCGGATATTCAGGAGTCTTGGACCGGTGTATATCAGGAGTAGGGTTATCAGCAGGAGGATCAGGTGCATCGTGCTCAGGCTCTGGAGATGCCTCGGCATTAAATGCCGACAAATTTCGTCTGGGAATCCAGGAAAATTCCGTTGTCCGTGGGGAATGATTTCTTGAAAGAATGATTCCACCACAACATCTCTATGCTTCACATATCCAAAGAAGTTACGGATGTCACCGTGTAAAGCATGCAGTTGAGCTTGAGTCTGCGTCACAGCTTCCTCGAGAGCAAGTAACCTTGCCTCGGCATTCGATTATATAGCACCTGCAGATTGCTCATGAACAGGGTCATTAGACTTGGGATTTTCAATTCCCAACAACAGTGGAAGTCTAGCCCTAGTGATGCCCGATAATCCAGGTAAAATTTCATCAAAAGCATTTTCCTCAACTTTTTTCTTACAACATAAAGCGGTAATTAAATTAGGAAACACCAAAGCACTTGCCTTTTTACCCAAACAGTCATGAACTTGCTGAACAATGATACGACCCACATCGATCGAACGGGATACCATTATAGAATGTAAAAGCAATAAGCGTGAAAGTGATATCGTAGTGTTGTGGGAGGTGGGCATGAGTTTGTGCTTGAGAAAGTGATTCCATAGCTTTACGTGCGGCTGAAGACGTTCCCGGTTGACTGAGTATCAGTTCGTCTGGCGACCATTCCACTCATTGTTTTCGAAACAAAGGTCCTCCAAGACCCCATCGTATGTGTTGCTATCGGCTTCCTCTTCGAACGTGGCATGGTTATCCACAACATCCTGCAAATGAAAATAACGATTAATAGCAATGGATGTAAAACGGATTTGCTTACCTCGAACGAAGATGGAGTGTTGATTGGGCTTGGAAATATTCGCATAGAACTCCTTAACTAATGAGGCGTTCACCGAACCAGGATAACGAGCAAACTTCTGCCATTTTAGTGGCGTCACGATGTCCATAACATCGGGTCCAAAACCACCATCGGTTTCCTCGGTAAAAATAAATACTAACTCAAAAAAGAGTTTTCGGTTCTTGAAGTTTTGGAACCGAGCCTTAGCCTCATCGTTCTCAAACTGTTACCAAGCGGTCGTGTCGGTTGGATCTGGTCTTGAGCGCACCATTTTCAGTGTTTTTGAAGTAAGAAAAATGAAAAAGGAAGAAGCTTTTGAAAGCTTTAAAAACTTGGATGTATTTCGGCTATGGAGAAATAACAAAGAAAGAAGATGAATGAAAGAAAGAGAAAAGGTAAAAGTTAAAATGAAAGAGAAAAATTAATAATGAAATATAAAAGAAAAATTTAAAAATTTGGGAGGGAAAATGGGTGATAGGATGGTTAAGAGAGAAATTAGTGGGTGGGGGTTGTGCGTGTATGGGAAGGAAAAACTGCCAAAAAGCAATGATGTGATGGGATAAAAACTGTGAAAAGAGAAAAGAAATGTCAGAAATTAAATTAAAAAGAAACAAATCAAAAGAATATCTCTCCAATTAATGCTTTGTCCTTTCCTCCCTTTGGTAACCGCTCCTTGTACGGTTTGCAACAGTGTGGTCCCTACAAATCAGATCAAAAATTAATTACAAAATAAAATAAAATAAAACTAAAGAAAAAACTTGAATGTTAAACTTTATTTATGCACAGACACAAATTCAATGCCGAGGCATCGAATTTTGGTTCTCCTCTGGGCACGCTTCAGTATCGTGCAGCCGTAACACGTCCTTGTTGTGCGGTGGTGTAATTCCATTGTAGGCTTTCAGACGCTGGCCATTGACCTTGAAGATCTTCCCATTGTCTATTCTCTTGATGTCAACAGCTCCATG